ATGGACGAAACTTTGGAATTATTTGGATTTCAACGACTGAGATTATATCAAACATATATATAAGTTGCCATGCCGCATGTCGATTTCAGTCGTATTTCACTTTCCGAAAAGTAGACAAACATCGTGATATGATAAATATACTTTACCAATAAATTAGAATTCGTTGATTTGCAATCGGTTAACTGGATAGTCAAATAATTTTTGAAATTTATTCTATTAGATATCTGGAACAAAGGATTGTGTATCACCTGATAAACAGGATATATTTTATATTGATCACAGTACTCTTCCAAAACGAACCCGATTGGATATGAATGTAGTTAAACTACTTGAACAGATATCGCTAATAAATTTCAAAGAAGTGAGTTTTTTTGGTATGGTTTTATGTAACTGAGTTTATATCATCTGAAAGTATCAGTCTTTTGGACAGTTCTTGAAGCACTGTATTCTTCTAATATGCCAACTGTAATTACTTGAAATCAAATTGCTTTTCGTCACATGCTAACTTCAACTGGAGAAGTGTGTCATAACGTTGGATTCACTAAATCAAGTGAACTCTGACTATTTGATCGGGGAACATAAATCAACAATGATAACGTAGAGTGGGAGTAAATGGAGTCGTTTACAATATATGTTTATTATGTATGTGATTTATGGGGTGCCTATCTGCAATCAATAATTAACCACTTCTAAGAACTATTAATGGACTAACCCTCTCTCTATATATATTCTTATTGTATAACTATCCAGTAACTAGATTGTGCATATCTATATTCCTCTTATTATAGGTTTCATTTTAACCTATTGGCTATTACTATACGATTTACTGTTCTTAAGTTGTGTTCAGTCTATTGATTACGGTCTCCTACGCCCACAGCCACAATTTGGCTTGATTTTGTATAAATGTTATTTCCTATTTTATTGGTGTGATGCGGTCTATTTGGCTGGTATATAAACTAAGTATGTTTGAAATAATTTATTCCTATAGTGGAAGCTATTATTGGCGTTATGGACTCAAATGGACATGATATGAGAACAAAGAACCAATAAGATTGCTAGGCTGCCTATACCGCTCGAACGTCATTGGCTTAGCACAGTACTAAGATTGTATGAGTCGTACTCCGATTGGCGAATAAGTCACATGATTATTAGCCGGGTTTAAGACACAACGGGATACATCGCAATATATTGGATAGTTGTTGCAAACTTGTTTGAAACTTTTTACAGGGATAGTGTGCATATCACAACCCTACATAGACTCAAGTCTATGAACTTCAAGTCTTGAGACAAATAACATATCATCATTTAATCTATTGCTTGGTAATTCTGAGTCATATTTATTCGACTTTTTTCAAGTTATAACGTCGAGATTATCTCTAATTTATATAATTCGTTTCATGTAAAAACATAAAAATAAAGTAGATTTCGCTTGCTTACACCTCTAACCTCTTTAATTGACATATGGTTCCCATTTAAACATTAAAAACACAAAGTTCAGCGAAGGAATCTCTTTAGAATGGATTTATTATCAAGCTGTACAGTCGTATATATATATATATATATATATATATATTGCAAAGAGATTCCGTCGCTGAACTTTGCGTTTTTAACCTTTACAGACACCATATTCGATTTGTCGTTCATATAACTTCGATTGGACCCATCATAATTTTTTTGGCTATTTCAATTTAACAACACTTGGAAGTTTTGTTCTTTTATGAAATCTGTTTCCTCTTTTGTTCATTAAGGAAAATTTGAGAACTCTTGAGGAAGCTATACGCTATGCTGATTCATTGCTAACGAAAGAAGCTTTTCATGGAACAACTAATAATCAATGTTGGAGTCTAGATAATACAGAACCGATGATTAGTTTATGTGATGAAATTAATGTTGGTTCCAATTGTTTTTTAGATGATGACGATGGTGATAATCACATTGCATATAATTGTAATCTAGCTACTGATATTATGGAACAAGTACCTGATGAATGGGAAGGTTATATTGTTGCTCCATTGGGTAATATTCCAGTAGAGCAAAATGAATCTAATCGAGTTCAAGGAGTGACGGTGTAGTTACTCGGTCAACAAAGTGAATATATTCATAATTTTGATGAAAATAGCAGAAAAGAAACAAATATACACGTATTAACACAGTGTATACCGTAATAATAAAAATCAAAATGAGAGTAACAATGTGATTTCTTTTTCATGTTCCTATGTTAATCGTAAAGATTAACGGGTGTATCGTAGGCATTATCGAAGCACATGATACTGACTTTAATCTGATTCTGAATACTGACAACGGATGAATACGAATTTTTAAAACTACCTTTATTCCCACTAAACAATTTAATGGCTATCTGCACTTTGTAGCTTAATAGACAACGCCTTGGTGCCTAAAGTGACCGGTTTCGCAATTTTGTCTGAATGTTCGGCTAAGGAGCCCTAGATAGGATGAAACGCTCTTGGCACGATCCAAATATCTTATCAATAACACTTAAAAATTCCTTTTAAAACAAGTAATGCCTTCTTGCGTCTTAATGAGAAGTTGTGTGGTATTAAACCTACTTACAATTTTGATGATGAAAACAAGTACGCTACTGAATTTCGCCTAATTTACGATCAGTTTAGGTCAGGTGGAAATATGAAATGAATAAAATTATATAGGTGGTGCACTTATAAATAAAATTGTAAATTTCTGATAAACATTGAGGGCATAAACCCACTAATTTTTCAGATGGTCAATGATATTCGAAAAAGTACCATCCTTTTGTTCTACCAATCGAGTAGTTTGTACTGAATAGTGCATCATCGCACTACCGCTTACTGGTGAATTAGTTATTTCAATTTATTCAATTCATTTAGTCGCATCTGTAAGTGTAATTTGTAATTTTATATAGGTTTATGTACTAATTTATTGAGAACAGCTAATGTTGGATAGGCTATCAGGTTGTCGATTGTTTAAGCTGAATAAGCTTAAGTTTTATCTTAACATGTATGTATGAACATTGTTAAAAGCGATATCAATCTTTTGTTTAGTTTACACAAATTCTGGCGCAATTAAGCACCGAAAACTGACCCAGATAAAGAAAACGATATCAAGAAGTTAAAGGGAAAAGAATGGCAGGACCAATGATTAAATGAACAGAAATAGCATTTAAGATATAGCTTAACTAAAAATACAGCCAAGAAAGGTTTTACTCAGTTTAAAAAGTTTAACGCACTATTATGAAGGCAGTATCAGCAAATTACAACAGGATTGCCACAGACTTCTATTTTAAGTCATATATGATCATGGCTTAAGTCACTGAGCTCCATGATCTTTACGATCGTCTTTCTAACTATGGTATTTGCCTTAACAACTGTTATTACCGTCTGTTGAATTTCTTCGTAATTCAAATCATGGATAAGCCAAAACTCGAACCTCATGCATAACCAAAAATTCATCATATTTTAGTTGTTTCTTAGCCGTAAATTCATTTAATAATACCCATTAGTCTACCAGTTACCTTTTTTGCTATTTATACAGGCCCGGTTAAGCATTCATTTAGAAATAAAGGACATTTTAATTCTAAAATCCCTTAGCAAATTATCTTATGTACTGTATAAGTACGGGTATTATGTTTCATCAAACTTCAACAGAAATCTGAGAAGAACCAGTTGGTTTCGGAAACTATCTGAAGTTGGTTACCAGGAATGCTATCAATGAATGGACAGTGATTACCAATATGATTAGCCACATATCGATGCATATTGACATTAGTCACAACATTGAGTCGCCGAAAACAATGACCTAATACAGAGTCGTTTAAAGTTTTAAGATTAAAGACGCCAGGCTCGACAAGAGTAGAGGATAACTGCTACTACACTAACGCTTAAACAACTAATATAATGTCGTGACAGCGCTAAATATGGGTCTCTAGCTATATGAGGTTTTTGTCTCTGAAAACATCAGTATTCCGGCACATGAGTATCCTGAACATTTCTAGCAGTTCACCAGCGAATATGAGTTTATGGACAAACCCTAAGTAGGCAGTTTATTGAGATATTTAGTAGATTCAGCCAACCACTCCATCAAATCCCCCACACAATTCCTGGACCGAATTAAGAACATTCAATTCAACAACGACGAACTGATGATATCCTTCGACGTGACAGCACTATTCACCTCGAACCAAAATTAGTGAAAGTATATCGCTGCTGCTCAACAACGACACAAATCTCACTAAATACACAAACCCTAAATCCCTCTTGGATATATTTTGCGCTTTGAGGGTCAAGAGTACTCGTCATTAATCAGAAACGCTGATCATCGATCGACTAATTTACATTCCGAGAAGTAAATATGTTTTTCAATCACGTACTCTATTCAAAGCTGTTTGGGAAATATCATCATTTATAAGGCTACAGAAAAATTAGCAAGATTGGTTAGCCTCATTCAAACGCACTCATATTATGGACTAGAATTTAAAGATAATTGTACGTTATCACTCTAATAGGATAGCTGTGAAAAAATCTAAGATGACCGCCTCGATTACATTCCTCTCTAATGTATAAATGTAAAGTACAGTTCTGTTCAATAAATTGACTGCAATTCTGATATAAGGAATGCGATACGTGTGACGATACCTAATCGTTTTGAGAAAGAGTGAGATGTGATGGCCTGAACAAAATCAAACCTGCTTGTTGTATTTGGTCTAGATAATTTGTGTAGTCTGATCCAGTCAATATTTTACAAGCACCTTAAAACCAACCTGAGGCGAAACCATTTTCGTGTACATTATCTACGCCCTTTCCCAAAATAGGCGCAACAATAAATCCCTTCTTTAGTGAAAGAAGACTTTCAGTATGATATGACATCCTAGATAATTCAATTCATTCTAAACCTAGGATATAGTCCCCATTCTAGAAATGAACCAGAGGTGCGTTGTGCTGTGGATTATTTTTGCGACACTTTAGAACTTGAGATTTATTGTAGAAAATATGACAATTTGGTTGAAATTTCTGAGGTAGTCTGTCAAATTGTATTCCGAAAAATTCGACTAAACGTTGCAAACCACTTCGCAGACTGTTAGCAGGCGATTTTATTTAAATTACCGATTATTCATGAAGTTTCAAACGATAAACATGTAGTTCCAGCGAAAAAAGGTTGAAATTGAACATTGATTATAGTGGTTCACAGAAGCATATATACACTAAGTCTTAAAGTCTCTTAATAATCTGGAGGTAGACCTGAAATTGGTAATCAGCAATAATCAAGATTACTACTCACCAATCCGATGGCGCGCATTTTTTCTGCGTCTTTCAGCTTCTCGAAGTTGTACCTTTTCAAAAGAATCCTTGGTACTTTTGCTACCTTTTTCACAGTCTCCATTAGACTGAGTATCAATGAAGTTTTTAAATTCCATCAAGTCTTGCAATCCAAGTTCTATGCGAGTGAGTGGACGTCTCTGCATCAATAGAGGTTTTTAGATGTGACTGAAAAAAAGTCGGAATTATGATGTACTTTATTCAGTGCCATTAACCACACACAAAAAACTGAACCAGAAAGTGTTTTAGGAACAAATAAGCAGGAGAAAAATGCCATGAGGAACATGATATTAGGAATTACTGGAAAACGGAATGGTAAATAAACACACAAAATAGACATCCGAAATTTAGACCGGAAAGTGTACACAAATGTGCCAACACCACAAATTATTATCCAAACCATAAATTTTTGCATTACATTCTCCAACTAAAAAAGAATGAAAACACTTTAAATAAACAATCGATGACTTTATGGAAGAATGGTTTAAATTTTGTTTATCCACCTCGAGTTCTTCAACAAACTATAAATGATCAAACATTGAAATGACATCTTAAAATCTCCTATTTTAATTCATACATTCAAATTGTTGATCACTAACTATATGAATGGTGTGAGTGATTCACTAGGTCAGTTTGAATTTTGTAAACTGGCGTATGTCGACGCAAGAAACCATGAACCCTCATTCATTGACATAGTTGGGATGTGTCGAAAATACTAATCTACCAGTAACTTTAATGTATTGTCTTTGAGAGCATTAAAGGTGGAAATTAATAACGTTTAGATCCCGACATAACACCAAACCAAGAATTTTAATGCAAAGTGTTTCGATTTATTATAATCCTGGTTATGACCCCAAATGCCCTGGTACAGCCGAGAGTGGGGAGAGTCCACTCTCCCTCTCGAAATGCTCTCACTTGACCACGCGTATATAGCCTATACCACGGAAGTCTTACTCACTGCCTTCTCGTGGCGGGGGTGTTGTTTACGAAATTGAGAGGACCAAAAGCAAATGTCCGGCGCTTTAACCGGGTTGGTGGACATGGGGAGTCCACCTAGGGGAGTTGAAAAACCCTGGTTCCAAGCCGATGGTGCACATGCGCTCCAGTATCCCGAAGGAACAAATGGCGTATGAACCAATCGTTGGTCACCGGCTACCATGGGACTACATCTCCTGACGTTGCTTCACAGCCTCGTGAATCAGACCTTCAGGTCGAAGGCTCTTGGTGTGGCCCCCCGAGAAAACCACCTGCTTCGGTTTGGGCACCCGGGCAGTATCACAGCCCTCACACAAATAAAATGAGATTTGTGTGGCGCATATGTATTTGGTGTCTTCTTGTACCAATATCTATGTGTTAAAATAAATAAATAAAAATCATGGTTATATGTCCAGGTCACTGAGGTTAGTCAGTCGAAACGTAGATCCATGCACATACATGTTAACCCAAGTTGCCATATTATATAGACATAGTGGGTTGAGAATAATGTGATGGCAAACAGGAATCGAAATAATTATAGTAGCAACGATAGTGACATGATAGCAAATTGAATAAAACTAAAACTAATACGGTTCACTTAGTTCCGATTATATTGACTCATAACCCAGGTCGTTATTGTTTTTCCGTAACATTATGAACATAAGTGAACGAAATGTTCATTGAACAAAGTAACATGGATATTGGACACAACGATAAATAAAATGGTGTTCAGTAATTTCGATTAATGAAACGAATAAAAACCTTAAGCGCAGAATATTAGCTGTGTTCAAAATAAAAGCACAATATATGACTTCACTCACACGCACCTAAATGTAATACTGGTGTTCACGATAAATATAATTTCGACGAACATGAGAAAAGATGAACATTCAGAGTCAAGAGGTCTCATTCACTTGGGAACATTTTACTTCAGAAACAAGGACCTCGAGTCTTCACCCAAAAACTTCACTTACAATATAATTTTAAGAACACCAAGTTCAAGTGTCTGACTACGTACTAGATGTAAATATTGTCTGTTCGTGAGATAATTATTACAAACGAGTAGGTTTTAGTCTGATTAAAAAAACACCTATATATATATATAATATGATACCATCCCGAGCTCCCAATTTGGGGGAAGCCACTATAGTGAACTTTGGGGAAAATGGCATCAAAACCCCAAAATTCCCCCAGACCTGGGGAAATTCCCTAGTATTTCCCCAAAATAAAAATATATTTATGCATTGTATTTGCAGCGTTGATTTTGCCCGCATTACTTTTACTATTGAAACTATAGTTTTAAATGAGCCCTTCTTACATTATGCTTTTATAGATTTTTCTAATAGATACAGTTGATGGATTGTGGAGAAAACAGAAACTGCACTCATTAGTAACGTACGTTTCGAACGTCTACTCTATCTAAAATTCAATATATTTGTGATGAACTAGTGTTAACCTATATGTTTTCTCTAATAAGAATAGGAAGTTTATCAACCTGTATTAATCCTTGCAGTTTTTAACACTAGATGTACAATCTCGTTTTGAAAATATGAACCAATGGTGCTGATGTTACGTGTTTTGGTAAAAAATTCCTTCAATTCACTACTAGATGAGAGAAGCGGAACTGTAGATGCTAACTATTTGATCTTGGTTTTTGAACTTCTTTGTAACGTATTCTCAAATTATCAGTCCTAGACGGAAGGAAAAGATAGAACATATTGATTCCAAGGCCATCGTTCAGTATGCGACCAACAAATATTGAAACACTCCCTAATCTACGGTAAGATAAGTTGAGATTTCTCAGGCTGTCTGCCAGAGAGACCTTTTACCTCGTCGTTGGACTGTTTTCAGAATATCCATTCGATACTTGAGATAAGGACTCGCTTCTTGAATCCTATATTTCAATTGCCGTCTCACGAAAGTCGATTATAATACTCTATATATTTTTTCGTCCAAGTACAGAAAAGACCTACTAATAGCCCATAATACTCTAAAGCCTTTGGCAGTGAGTAGGAAAATCAGATTTTCCAGCGTTTTTTGACTTACACTAAGTTACGAAACGACCAATGTATCTTTGCAGCGCACTCCTAAATGGTTGATGTGTTAGCCGTCCATACATTTGAGTGAGGCTTAACCTGATCCTATATCACATCACTGGCTCTAAAGATGGATGACGAAACAGTGTGATCTCTATTCGCTAATAATGGAAGAATGTTTAGGTTGGTATTATCGTCAGTCACATGAGTGGTTACCAAGCCTAACGAAGAACAACCTTGCTTTGAACCAAAGATGTTGTTTTCGATACATGCGGTACTAATCCATGCTCAACTACAGTTATCAGGGACCCCGCTATCAAATAAGTTTATAGATCCTACCGAGGCCATTTTAATCCATTAATATCGGGTTCATTGAAGTTTCCTTATATCAAGCATCTGTTATATTCAATCCATAGCTGAGTGTGTTTTCCATAATAGTCACGATCTAAGTAGATTGGACTACGATAAATGACCCCGAGTATGAATGAACATCATCCGATAGTCGGGCACGAAAAGCTCACAGTTAATGACTTCATAAGTTCCGCTATCACGTGATGCACAGACAGGGGAGCGGGTATTTATATTATTGATTATGTATAGAAGGACGCCACCTCCTGTTCGAAATCTGTGTCTATCAATTCTTAGATATTGGTACTCGGATAATTCTGGAATAATGTCGAAGTCGTGGACCAACCAAGTTCCAGCCACAGCTAAAATGAGTGGCCTCAATTTGTCCACTAACGCCCCTAGTTCATAGAATTTATTTCTTAGACTACGAGCATTCGCATATAAAACTCCTGGGGAGAACGACCTATGCACACAGAAATCGGTGGCATTTGCTCCCAGGACCTGACTACTCGAATAACAACTAAGCGGGGATTTTCCTCACCATTGTGTCGACGGGTTTCTAGTTGTTCTCCTTTTTATTCTACTTTCAAAGTATATATCAGGTCTTACTCGGATGTCGGTACTGTCGTGACTATGGTCGCTACTTAACAAAAGATCACGTTGTAATTTGTGACTCAGAACGGGAGTTCACCAATGTATCGTAAACCATGTGTGTGCCGCTTATAACTTTATACTTTTCACATTTTATGGAACCACTTTTCACACTCATTGCATTCCTTCCTCCGTGGGGAATAAACCATTCGGCTGTCCACACTTATAAATACTGCCGAACATTGTAGTCAGATAAGGAAAGCTTAAAATACAATGTGATCATTATATGAACAGAAGTGTCAGAACGAACAATAAAGCCCCACAAGACCAAGTTAAGCAAAATTTGAAACCTTAACCGAAATACTTTAATTTCGAGTAAGCCGAGAATGCCTTTTGACACATCAAGGATACGGAAGCAAAGTTAGTCGCAACAAATACTAAATCACCGCCTTTTTTGAAACACTCGTGGCAGTTTCTTTGAGCCTGTTTTCGGATGTTTTCGTTTGGTTTCACATTTTCATTATTATTTAATATGGGTAATACATCTACTTAAATTCATCAGTCCTATTGAGTTCGAGTTATCTTGAGATCGGTATGTATTCTGTATGGGTGGATGCGTTTTTAGCAGAATAGTGTGGTTGTCGAAAACTGACCAGATAATGAACACGTTTTTCATGTACTTGAATAACGTTATTTTTAATCATTGATGCTTTACTACGTTAGAAATATAGTACTTTTTACAATGACCATAAAGGTGTTTCAGCTACTTAGGACTTAGCAACACTGATGTCCACAAAACCTTTATAATCGAGGATCCGATGCCCAGTCATGCCAGAAATCAGGAACGAAGGAATTAGAAAATATATTTGGAAGGTCGTCGACATGTCAAGAAATGATTTGATCTGGCTAGTTGTAGAGAGATATTTGTGGGACGGCATAACCCATAGCAACTTGGCACGGATGCTCGCCTGCAACCAGAATGCGGCCAGTAAATCTGATGAAATCGACTTCAATGTCGAAGGCACCTTAAGAATCAGGAAGTTGTGACTTTGGACACAAGCACACGATCGTAGTTGACACCCGGTAGACATTTCGTGCCTCTAGGTAACCCTCTTGCTATTGATAGAAGAAACCAGACAAGTGGCGAACAGGTCCTTATTTAGATCCTCGCGCAGTCACAGTGGAGTGTGGGATTGTTTGTTCAGACAAACAAAGACTCTCAACATTCAATATAAGATAATAGGCAATATAGTGCCTATACAAAATAAGGAAGTGAATGAATGCTTGGACAACCTGTTGGTAGCGGTGATTATAATGTTTGCAAATGAACTTATGTGTCACCAGACAAATATTCTCGCTACACTATATTTAACTAAACATCGTGTGATTGTTTAACCCATAAGATTACACATAGATCTCATATGAATGAGCACCCTGAATGTGGATATTAGGAGTTTCTTCCACTTAAGGACAACTGAGGGGCAGTTATATCTTGCTGACAGAATAATATATATATAGTATAGAAAGGGATGTGGTACATATGAAAATTAAGCCTAATATCTAAGTCATGCCGCCCCGATAATTTTCCTGCATCGACCGCAGCTGATTTTCACCGTTTTGCGACAAACATTCGACATGCAGTGGTGAGTCTTTTGAAGCAGGGGACAGTCAGCCTGAAGGACTGTATCAATGGAGTTAGTCATTATCTCACTGTTACTTTAGTTTTTAAGCGCGTCAAACCGAGCTCAACAAACTCAGAAATAGCTTGCTATTTATCTGCTAAGGCGCTCTCAAGGAGAGTCAAATTTTATCAGAAAGGCTAGGATCTTTTCTGGAAATATAGCCACCCTCATTGTGGGAAGCAATTTCCTACAGGTTTAATTCTGAGCTATTCCCTAGACTGTCGAATACAGAGTCTTGGTTTGGCCAAAGTCAGAACAAGCAAGCTATTTGACTAGATAAACTTTGTGTGTTTCTAAAACATAAATTAACGTCGTTAGTGTACAAACAAACATTACGGTCTACTAATACAGGCAAAAAGAGAGACAAATAACATACCGAACAGTAGCCAGAGAATAAGAAAAATGAGTCAACAAGCAAATATTGTCTTACAATGAACACGAAACTGTGATTGGTTAATAAAGAGATACAGTCGTACAAGGTCAGAGGGAGTTAATGTGAAGGTGGGCGTTTCCCTTTATTATTGGTGGGTTCTTCTATCGATCACATTTTACACTCATTTTTTATCAATTTGATTTTTTGCATAACCTTTGTTCTCTAATTTGTTGCCACGTTTTTATGTTCACTAAGTTGCTACATGATTATAAGGTCGCACTCTGCTACCGCAGCAAAAAGTTTTCGACCAATTTCGTTTAAGTTACTTGTTCTTCGACAAATGTCAAGTTACCTGTGATCCCGTCATTTTCCTGTCTTAGCCGTCGAGGTTTGATGTGCTGAACATAATTGACTACTGTTAGTTCCGAAGAGAATCTATCGTACCAATGAAGCTCAATCGTTTTCGTTTCTAAATCCGAAACATCGTGGGTCGTACTCAACCCCAATAACAAGACATAACAACCTGCACTCGATGGATTCATAGTTCATATGCTTAACGCTAGTAATTGATATCTTTTTCTGGAATTATTCTCCCACATACCTAACTGCCTCCTCCGCTTCTGAAGGCTGTAAAAGTCCCAGTTTCAAATTTTATATAAAGTATTTTAAATAAAAAGCTTTTGATAGAACGATTTTTGTCCTAAAATGCAATTGATTTGAGGGTCAAAACACTTCGCTAACCAGTTGACGCAAGCCCATCCACTGGTAGTAATGTGTCGAAAACCAAACGCAACACAGGAAGGTGATACATGGGGTCATGAAACATTAATTTTTTTTCTAAAATATGCTAGATGTCTTAACTTACGCACAATGGAAAGCCAAGCTAGATGGCTTAGTGCATTTCCACGGATTTCATGTGATACTTTGATCATAGCTAATATCATTAGAAATGATCATTTTCATGTCTTTTGGGAGGTTCACTGTTTGGCTGGGCTGTCACTAATTTGTAGTGCTATTAAAAACATAAATTTGCCGTTTGGAAAATCATAGTACCTAGTAAGCTAGAAAGACTGTCTATCAGTGAGTCATGGTGATAAGTTGGTAATCATTTAGGTGTCTCGCTCTACTCCTGTATTTGAGTTGTTGCGATTGCAACATATGTTTCCTCAATCGCCTACCAATACTGAATGCGCGGTTTAGTTGTCTGAGGCACTCACAGTGCCACAGTTCAGGCTGACTGTAACCTAATCAAGCTACAGGAGTCCAGCAAGAGTGTCTTCCATGCAAACAACATTGAGTGTCCACCCTCCTGCAACTACGAACATAAGGAACGGATAATCAAGGCGTCGTCATCCATGTAATTTCGTCAGATATTCTTAAGTGAGGTCTTCAAAACTCCGATAAACCTCGTTGAGGATGATGCGACACTCACGGGATGACTAGTTGAGCAACTTGGAACTTTTTTCTGAAGTACTGAAATGATTGAATGTATAGGTGACGTTGTAGAATTATGGTCTACTATAACATTAGTGCTACTCTAATAATAGACCTAATCCTAAATTTGTAGATTTGTCATGATATAACTGCCTAATCTATAAGATCTTACGTGGAAGTCACATCATCGACTACGCCAACTCACTGTATCGTATCAATTACCAATACATGATGTAGAACAAGGTTAGGCTAGAGAAAGAACAATATATTTAATATGA